AAGTTGCACATTTTAAATATTATTGTAACCCTTTTAACTAGTTTATAAATGAAACATTGGTCGTGTAGGCCGATGTGATCCGGGATACTTTGTCCAGATAACACCTCAAATAAAACCATGAATGTAGGTTTAGTACCATTTTTAGATTTATAATAAAATATGTATTGATTTAAAATGTTTGATAAGACATAACACATGAACGTGAGGTTCAGGTGCGGAGGTATGTCCATCAGGTACGACATATCACCGCAGATTAGAAAAATAAGCCGGTAATATTTTGGTACAATTAATGTTATAATTGATTTAATAAGAAATAACCAGTGTAATATTTGCATAACATAGGGATTACAAATGAAGTCTCTATGAATTGATGTAGCTAATATTCCGATTAAATGTTTATGTGAGCATGGTGATGAGCCTGGAGTTGCTAATAAGCCAATTTGATACAAACGTGAATTGGCTAGTGGTACAGATATTTCACTTGGTAACAATTGACCAGGGTTAATTTGTTGATTTTTATTGGTTGAGACATCCATTTGTTTTTATTTTAATAAGATTAGAGCAGTAAGTTTCTAAAGTAGGTAGCATTCACATCTAGTAATACTATTATTACTATTTGTAATAAATTGTAATACATGGAACTGGCTGGGTTAGTCTAAAATATATTATGATATAAAAGTTATTAACACATGCAAATTTTAGTATAATTTAGCAAAATAATTTAAAATAATAATATAATTAATTTGTGTAATAATAATGATATTTTAGTCTTTGGATAGTTTTATACTAGTATTAAAAATTTGAAAACAAATAAATGAAAGTAGCATTGTAAAAATAAAGATATTTTTACACAAAATAATAAGTGTTAAGTATAATTATATTTATTATGTAAAATAATTATGTATCATTATATTTTATTATTTGGGTATTTTCAGAAATAATTTACATTATTATATATTTTTTATTCAATTTCAATATATTTATAATAAACTTTGAAAACTATAGTCATAAATACAGTATATTTGCTCAAATATTGCAGATATATTACAGTACATTTATATTGTAATAAGCTACACATATGCTTATGTAATACTGAGTGTAATGTGTATACCTCCCGTTCCCAAACACAAAGACTTTTCTAGAAACTTCTAGAAAGTTCTACATGTTCAAGTATAGCCTATATAACTGCATTGACATTATGTAAGAGAGTTATCTTTTGGGCTACTGGTGCCGTACATTTAACAAACTGTATGTTTTTTGTGTAGTAAATACTGTTTAATGTAAACAACTGAAAGTTATTGAAAAAATAAAACTAAATTTGCAAATAAGCAAGTGTATTTAATTTATTTTAAACTGGACTTGCTTACAATATGCATTATGTTTTTGTGGCTGTTTTTACCAAGCTTATCAAATTAGCATTTTATACTTTGCATACCTGCCCACTACTAATGTACGGTATGAGTTCAACAGTGGACAGGGATCACAATGGCCACTACCGACTATAACCATATGTATGGAAAAGTTGGATGCTATAGATAACTCAAAAACGCGTGACAAGTATATAGTTAAAGTAGGGTCATTTAATATTTCAACCCCTGATTTGTACCAGTACTATTACAAAATGTTTAATAAGTTGACATTAAAAAAGCAATTTACCTTGCTAAAATCACCGAGAGATTTCTTATGCCATATATTAATGCCCGATTTTGACACTCCATGTAAAACGTTTGTTAATAATGTTTTTTGTGTAGTAAATACTGTTTAATGTAAACAACTGAAAGTTATTGAAAAAATAAAACTAAATTTGCAAATAAGCAAGTGTATTTAATTTATTTTAAACTGGACTTGCTTACAAATGGTGACCCAGGAACGAGATGAATATTAGCTCCAGAACGGTATAGAAAAACTGATTTGCTTGGTCAACGCCACAAATATGGACACATAGAAAAAGTTACCAGGATCGATTGGAGTCAAAAGAAACAACTTTGAGTAATGATAAGTTAATGAATAGTTTTTACCTTTTAATATTGTTTAAAAAATATTATATAGTGATTCACTGTTAAACAACAGTTCATTAATTATATATTTTGTAATTAATGTTTTAAACATTGAAATGCACAATTAAGTATAATATAATTTACCCATACAGAACTTAAAATAAAATGACCGACATAAATAATTTAACTATCTCTGAAGCTAATAATCTAGCTAAAACTATCATTAAATCTCTATCAAGTACATTAAAACCGACCTATTCCCCTAAAAATAACGACTTTAATATTGATACAACAAGCATTTATCATAATAAATTAATTTCCATAAAACAAAAGCCTACCGAAACAGTTGAGACATACATTATTAACAAACAATTATCTTGTTTAAATGAAAATTATAAAATGTGCGATGATAATGTTTTGTACTATGTTTATGATGGATTACTAGATCATATTAAGTGTGAGATTGATTTACTGGAATATGACTCAATTGAAAAGTTAATTAAACAAGCTAGAAAAATTGAAAATCAGTATAAATACATTAATAAATCTGTGTTTAATTATGAGAAGGATAGTGACAATTCAAATGAATTAATCTTAAAGGACTTACAAAAAATAAATAAAAAATTTGCTAAATTTAATACCAAACTTGCTTCATACAATTTAGAACTTAATTCGTTTTTAAATGAT